GTGCCTCTATGGTGCCGGGGCTTCATTCCTCCAGAGCAAGTCTCACTCTCTAACTCTCTGCCTGAGCGTGTTTCAGTTTGGCTTCCCAGGTGTGTCTGGGGCAGATGCTGACTATACACCCCACACCCGGCTGTCACGATGCTCATTTATGCTAGAGCCCAAACCGTTCCACACTGTCACCCCCACAACAGCTCTTCCTGCTTCCACACTCGCATTTTAATCGTGGCTGCATTCCAGATTTCCAGACAGACAGTTCACACTACAACGCATCCCTCTAAACCTAAACACAGTACAAAGGCCCCCTTTGATGAGGCCTGTTTCACCAGGATGTTACAAACACACAGAGATTCTTTGCACTATAATGAAGCACATAGGAGTATACAGGGCCAAACATGTGAAGAGCATATATAACAGAAGCATATATAACGAGCTCCCCACATCAGAATGTTCTGCCGCTGCTCAGGCTGATGACAGAAACAGCAGCAAATTCCAGCTCCACTTCCTGTTTTACCATATATGGTGCGCTGTTTCTCATTGGCTGAGACCAAAACCAGCCTGCAAACGAGACAGAGGCGGCTTGTGGCTTCTGTCGACCGCTGGCATGTGGCTCTCTGTCGGCCCTCGATGAAAGGCAGCGTTTGTTAAAGATGTTCATTTGCGGGGCAAAATGTTTTGATTGGGAGAAAAAAAAAAACATGCAGGCTGTGTTTTTAAATACGACTTCCGCGGTAAAAAAAAATGCATAATGATCAAACTGTCCGTCAGAATGCATCATGGTGTTCAAGCTAGTTTCCTAATCTTGTTTCGACGATTAGTGATGATACTGCAAGGTTTTAGAAGGCTGCAAATTCAGGATTGAAAACCTGAAGTAAGTTTTTTGAGAATCCCATAATGTACAATAAATCTGTCAGTAAGATAAATGACAATCCAAACTGATGATGTCACTGTACTGCGCCTTGTGTTTACTAGTAAAACAAACAAAGGTAGTTTTTTGTAAAAATCCTCATCTGATAAAATAGTAACATGTAAATTCGAAACTCTGTATGCTTCTTTAAGAAATCGCATTGTGTCCTAATGACCACGATGTGCACATCTACAAGAAGGAAGGGTCTGGCTGGTCCAAGAGCCACGTGCTGAGGGAACACAATGGACAGGTGACAGGTAAGCCCGCAGGCCGTGAAACGGTAGTGGGGGGGGGGGGTAGCCTCAGAGACAACTATACCTGCTGCTACAACCATATCCCACCTTCCTTAGGCATCGACTGGGCGCCCGAGAGCAACCGCATCGTCACCTGTGGTACGGACCGTAATGCCTACGTGTGGACACTCAAGGGCAATGTGTGGAAGCCCACGCTGGTCATCCTGAGGATCAACCGCGCCGCCCGCTGCGTCCGCTGGTCGCCCAAGGAGAACAAGTTCGCTGTGGGCAGCGGTTCCCGCCTCATCTCCGTCTGCTATTTCGAGCAGGACAATGACTGGTGAGAGTTTGGCCTGAGGAAACCCTTGGCAGAGGGTCATAAGAGTACACTACTAAAAATGTATTAAGATTTGAAAACAGAAAACGGAAATCGGGAAAAAAAATCCGAGAGGGATACCCCAGGCTGGTGAAATCTACTGAGGGACCCCATACCCCCCCCCCTCCCCCCCAAAAAAAAGGGGGTTTTGAGTGCCTGGCACTGTTATTTTGGGGGTTGTGAGCTGGAAACTTGCACAAGAATGCATACCCTAGACCAGGGGTGGCCAATCTTATCCACAAATGGCCGGTGTGTGTGCGGGTTTTCACGGCAACTCCCTAATTAGATTACTAATTAGAGGACTAATAGGCTGAAGGGTCCTCACACCTGGGTTTGAACAACTGACCTAAAGGTTATCTCAAAAACCTGCATACACACCGGCCCTTTGCGGATAAGATTGGCCACCCCTGCCCTAGACCCACATTTCATGACGGTGAAAACACTTACTCTTGCTTGGTCTAAATTAAGTGACCTTCCTATCACTGTTTCCGTATTAATACCTTATTAATGCACAACCTTGCAGGAGGACTAACTGATGGTGTTGCAGTTGTTGCATAATCAGAGTATGTCTAGTCAGTGTTAACCCTTTACTTTGTGATCAGGCCAAGTCTCCAAACCTGGCATCTTTGAACAAGATACCCAAATTACTCATTTTCTGATAAGCAACATGCAGTCCTTTTTTATAGAAAAATACGTTTTTCTAGGTGGGTTTGCAAGCACATCAAGAAGCCGATTCGTTCTACCATTCTGAGCCTGGACTGGCACCCCAACAACGTCCTACTGGCGGCAGGCTCATGTGACTTCAAATGCAGGTACCGGCGTCTTGACGGCACGCCCGTCACCATGCCTGTGACTTGGGGACGCGCTGAAGGCCCCGCTGTGTTTCAGGATTTTCTCGGCCTACATCAAAGAGCTTGAAGACAAGCCGGCCCCCACATCCTGGGGCTCCAAGATGCCGTTTGGCGAGGTCATGTTCGAGTCCAGCGGCACCGCGGGCTGGGTCCATGGAGTCTGCTTCTCTGGCAGCGGCAACCGCGTGGCCTGGGCCAGCCATGACAGCACCGTGGCCGTGGCCGAGGGAGGGAAGAGCCCCGTGTGAGTACCCAGTGCATTATGGAAAATAAGGAGCACAGGGCCCTGCCGTGGGATATCATGCTTAGTGTCATTGTTCATGGGATGGGGGGGCTTGCCAATGCAAATCCCAGGGCTGGAAGGCTGGTGATTGTTGGACCCCAAGTGCCCCAGGGGTGCTTCGTGTTGGCTGACCCTGCGCTGTGACCCCCAAACGCATTCACACTTGTATACGTGTCTGTCAGTCTCTTGGAGAGCAGCACCATATACCCATGGGTATAAATAAAATATCACATGCACAACATGTTTGCTCCAAATAACTGTCAGCAAATAACTGTCACGAAACGATACCAGGAAATCTTTTTACTTGTGTGTTATTCTTTCTTATACCACGGCTTTGGCAAATACAATATTCTTATTGTTATTGGTCCAGAGATGTCACATGGGTGTTGGTTACTGTTGTGTAACTGCACAGGTAGTTCCGACAGCCTAATAACAGCTCTATATTAATGCATTTGAATGTTTTATTAAACATGTTAATGTAAAAACCTGCGTGACTTTTAGTCATAAATCAGCATTCTTATCAGCATAATTGTCCTTGGATTTCAAAACACAAGCATCTGTCTGTTGAGGGCTTCTTTGGTAACTTATCAGACTTGCTGCTTCCAGTGAGCAGCCTGACCAGATGTTCTGTTTTTATAGGGAGTATGCTTTTCAGAGCACATTGGAACATTATTATTTGCTGCTATTTGAAATAATTTTCCTCTGAAAAATGATCCAGGACTAGTTTATTTTATTATTAGTTTTTGCTCCATACATAGTCATGTAACACATGTAATCGTGATTCGTATTATTTGGTAGCTACATGTTCCTGATTGTTGTTCATCAGCAGTTGTTACGCTTTATAGTTTGGCCCGACACGTTCCGGCCTCAATCTTATCTTGGCTGTCTTCTGTCGTCCCCGTCAGCATCACCACCTTGAGCTCCGTGACCCTCCCCCTCCTGTGCGTGACATTCATTACGGAGAACAGTCTAGTGGCTGCGGTATGTACCAGCATTTTAGTAAAAAAAAAATGGGGGGGGGGGGGCTTGCATTTATGGGCATAGAAGTTAAGAATAATTCAAATCTGGCAATTTCGATTTTAACTATTTATTTGAATTTATTTATTTACATTGATATTTTACTACACAGCCTGACTGTCCAGCAATTAAAACATCTACTGGATTATTTGTAATTCAGCTTAGTCAATATTTGCGACTTAAAGTGAGTTTTCCCCAACACGCACAGGGCCATGACTGCTACCCAGCGCTGTTCGTCTACGACGCAGCCAAGGGGGCCCTAACCTTCGGTGGGAAGCTGGACGTGCCCAAGCAGAGCGCCCAGCGCGGCATGACGGCCAGGGAGCGCTTCCAGAACCTGGACAAGAAGGCGACCGTGGAGAGCAAGGAGGCCGTGCTGGAGTCTCTGCACAAGAACAGCATCAGGCAAGGGGCACTTTATATCCATATATGGGTATAAATAGCAACAAAAATCAATAATAAGCTTTATATTTAGTGATTGGCTTATTTTTGTTCCTTAATCGATACTGGGAAAAAATAAATCCCACTTAAGGGCAGTTTTGCAGAGTATTGAAACACCAGCATGTCTCATAAGCATACTGTATGCAGGTGCTCTTGCTGCCATTTTCACTAATGACCACACTAACCCGTGACCCGCAGCCAAATCTCCATCCTCGAGGGTGATAAGGCCAAGTGCTCCAAGTTCTGCACCACCGGCATGGATGGAGGGATGGCCGTCTGGGATGTGAAGGTACAGTGCCCTGTGCCTTGCTCTGTAAGCTAGACACTTGGGAGTCGCTTACTGACACACCATCTGACTCTTGATTTCAGACGCTGGAATCTGCCATGAAAGACCTGAAGATTGTTTGACTGCTGCGTCCGGTAAAACAGAAGAAACTTTGCTTGCAGGCTGCGCTAAACACACTTTTATACTTCATGTGCGGGTATATATAAGGAAGTTCAAATGTAGTAAAATGGTGGCAAGTTAAAAATGTACTTTTACAGCTAAAGAATATTTTAGAAAACTTTGGGTTATAAAGTCATCTTTTTTTAAAAATCTTTTTTAAAGACTGCGATGCTTGAATGTGGTGCTTTTATGCTGGTCATACTGTGCTTTTTTTTTAAATAAAGGATTTCTTAGCTTTGGTTAATGTCTTAATGTGCATAATGAATTTCAGTAGGTCTTGACTGTATGACAGGACATTACTTTAGAGGAACATTATCCAAACTCATTTTCCAATTAAGGATATGGACATGACCTTTGGTTAATTAAATTCACCGTCAATATTGTAATACCAATGTTATAGTACATCAGAAACATACACAAGATATACCTTCCAAAAAACACCACCAGAACTTTTAAGTACATTGACTTTTTTATTTACTCACACAGAATGTCAGTTTGAGGAACAATTCACATTTTATACAAAAAAAATCATTAGAAAACACCATGGTCTATCTTCAGCAGTCTGATTCTCAAACAGAAAAACCATTCTTTACAATGAGCTGTTAGTCTGCTATGTTTGGATTAACTGAACATATGAGAGCCAAACTGCCTCGTTCACCAACACGAATAACATCATAGCAACAGTACGCGTTCCACTGCATGAATGGAGACTGAAACACAGTTTTATAAAGACCCTGACCTGTGTGATATTTGTCTACAGTGCACTGCACTCTTGGGTTTACCGTGAGAAAGTGATGGAAAGAAAACTTGAATAATCTTAAACCACCAATCAGCATCTTCAGGGCTCAAACAAGTAAGGTTTTCTCTGCCCTGATTGGCCAGGACCAGCCCGTCCCATACACTGAACCAGTCAGCTGGGACGAATTCAGGCTGCAGGTTCTAATGTATCTGGAATACTTCTCCTATCAAACATGCACCTATCAATTAATGTCATATAACCTGCAGAGAAACAATCCAGAACCAATGTCCAGAGAGGTTAAAAGGACTCAACTTTAGCATGGAACTTGTGCATTTTACCACGTAATCCAAAAGAAAAGAAAAAAACACAGGATTCAGATGAATCAGAAACGCTATAGTCAGTCAACCTGTTGTGCTTTCGTAGTGTTTCCCTTACCGCGCAGCCGAAAACTATTGCTTAAAATTAAGAAATAAATAAGAGAGATGAGTGACATTATGTCATTCCTTAATACGCAAAATAAAACTTGGGATGAAATTTTTAAGAAGCCAGAGAAGAGAGGTCACAGACTGAGAAGAAAGCCAACATTTCATCAAAACAGTTGCGTTGCCTGAAACATCGGTGCCAGGGTCCGTTAACCCAGGTTGTTCGCCAAGCCGACTCTTCAATCCAGGGAGACTGTGGGCCGCACTTCCGCTGAAGAGGCCGTGTGACGCCCCACGCTCCTCTCCGTTACACATGTCCATATTTACAATGCACAGGCTCAGGGCATAAATTCCCATCACATTAGCATGCCACACACGAGTATGTGTTTATAAGGAGCGGACAGGCTGCAGGGGGAAGATCTAGCTATTGGGTGCGGAGTGGCCATTACTGGTGCATCCTCAAGGGGGGGCTGCTGTTCAGGCTCCCCTCCCCCCATGGGAAGCCTGTCAGAGCACCGCCAGTGGACGCCAGCCATACACGGGAGCAGAAGGGCGGCCTGCCGGAAGCGTCTGTACAGTCGGCATCGAAGCGAAAGGCGACTAGCGATTACATACTTGGCACGTGTGCATGCAAAGCCGGGAGAATTCACACACCCCCATCAAGGAAACTACTGCTTAGTTAAGAAAGACCATACAGTTGTCTGGGTTTCAGAGCCACTGTAAGAAAACTGCTTTTTTATATATACGTTTATATATACATACAGTACATACACAGTTTTGTCAGACTCACTGCTGTCAACCCCCTCACCACTTACAGGTTTCAGGGGCAGCCTCAGCCAGTCGCCCTCACACCCCCACCCCGGGCGTCCCGTCCCCCCACCACGGCCCGAGCCGCTCAGTCCGTCTCCAGGATCATGGGCGGCTGCTCGTTGTCCTCGTCCAGGCGCAGGGAGTTCATGTCGTCCTCCAAACCAGCCCCCCCCACGGCTCCCTGGTCCTCCGGGTAACCTGGAACAGCAGAGCAGTGCTGAGCAGAGCAGAGCACAGCAGAGCGTCTCCCTCGGGTGCCCCGCTGTGGACGTCGAGCTCGAGGGTCGGCGCTTTGTTATGTGGTACCTTTGGCCACAGCCGCAGCATATCCCTGAGCCACCAGCGGGCGATCGTGGGCTGTCGGTTCCAGGATTTCATTGGCTGGTTCCACGCTGCCATCCAACCTGTACAAGGGCAGTGTTTGAGCTCACTTACGAAAAAAACACAACAAATGTCATATAGCGGTTCTGTTCAACCTCATCGCCTCGCAATGAGTAAGACAGATGGGTGGATTGGTGGATGGAAGCTCTGTTCCTCCACTAGCCACTAGTTCAACCAAATTTTAGCTCCACAATAACCTGCATCAGGTTTGCTGGGGGTCAAATAATTGTGTGACAGGTATGGAGTGGAGGTCAAGGAAAGGACAGGGAAGCAATGTACTGGGTGAAAGGGGCTTGGGGGGGGTGTGTCCACAGCCGAAGAAGAAAGCCTCTCACCTGTGCTGCTTGGTCAGTGTACACTCCCCGCCCTCCTGAGGGTCCAGGTTGTACATGTACAAGTAACCGTCAGCCGCTGCCACGAGCAGACGGGGGATCTTCTGGATTCTGAGAGGAGAGGGGAGAACTTTGAGAGGTGAAACTGAAAGCAGAGTTTTAACTTAACTTCTCACATCAGCTGTGAGAACTGGCCGTGGAATGTATCTTGAAATACGTGGCGACAGGCTTAGCCAGACTACACAGAGCACAAGGTGATCCGGGAACAGACCAGCACCTGGGGCCGTGGGCAGGGAAGCCCATGTCAGAGTATTTATAGTGCTGGAGAGGAGTCAAAACACCCAACTCAGCTTGTGTAAGCAGTGACTGCAAAACAACATCTTGGGCAACAGGAGACATGTGGAACAGGCATTTATAACTACAGGCTTGAGGAAATACAGGGTCCAGTTACAGCATGCTCACGCTCATTGAAAACAGAGTACGTGTGAACTTTATACAGCAAGAGAGAGGTCGATGTGCAAGTGTGTATGTGTATACGGTACTGTGTGAAAGGCTGTCAGAAAAACAGCTTCAAGTTATCTGCGTAGCAGGAAAAGCACAACAGAAGAGTCAACACAAAAAAGTAAAAAACTTGTTGCAAATTTCTTGTTACATGGCTAGAACATTACTTCAGTTCCCAAAACTCTCTTCAGGGGCACCCTAGCCATTCCATGTATTCAGTAAATTTACCATGAGTTCATTTCATTAATCAACTTAATTAATTAAATAACACAAGACACTGATTAGTCAAACAAGTATTCAAGTGGTTGAGTCGATAAATACATGAATATGTTGGATGGTTCCTGCCAAAACTGGGGCTACCAGAGCAAAGGTTTTTATTTTTTTGCTAATCTAACACCCTACAACAGACATGACATATGACGGTTTTCCATAAACATGAAGAGAATTTAAGCAATCTTTTGCATAGTACTGTATGTGTATATATGCACAAGAAAAACTGTGGAGAGACCTCTGTTTCAGTGACCTGTGAAACGGTCTGATTCTAGACCTGCGGTTATGCCATAATTCACAGTGAACGAAGACAGTCACATGGGGGCATCCTCACATGGCAAGAGCGCAGATGTTCTTGTGGCCCGAAAAGGGCAAGCGGACAGTGGCAAACGCTCTGCCCTGGCTGAACATCTCCGACATCTGAGCAGGAAGGTAACTGGTGGACGCCATCAAGGCCCGGCCAAAGTACCCGGTCCAGGTGGTGGGCTCCTCCTGCGGCCTGAGAAGAGATGTCTGGGTGAGGGAGGTCCATTCGGGACAGCCGTCACCTGCCCAGAGCCCCAATATGGGTGCAGCTGCTACGATCTGCTCCAGATTTTTAAGGTCCAAACCAGAACTACATTCTCTTGGACTATTTCCAATCAATGCATTTCCACATGAACTCTACTCATATTTTCACATGCCACACATAACTCTTTATAGAACTGAACCAAAATAACTGCCTTTGTCAGATTTACAAGAAACACACAAAGCAAACCTCAGAGGAAAGAACCAAGCCGCTGATCCTGCTGGAGAACATCTGGGAATGTTAAGGTGGAAAAAGAAGGAGGAATGTTCTTCTCAGTGTCTTTAACGTAATCTCGCCAAGCGCATATCTGAATGAAGGCCTTGGAGCTCACTCAGAGATCACCGTGTTTTACTACAGCTACATGCTGTTTTTAAATATCTAACATGGGGTTTCCAGCCACGGAGGATAATACAAACAAACCAGTTCCAGTGTACCTCTCCCTCAGAGTCTCCAGCTTGAAGATGTGCACAGTTTCTGTATTACTGGAGGCTGACAGGAACAAGCCCTCCATGCTGAAGGCCAGTGAGCAGATACTGACGCACCTGTTAGAAGAGAGTCACGGGTAACAGCATTGCCATGGTTTACAGCTGAGACGGCTATCCTCCATAGTAAGTATCACAGACCACATGCAGCAGGGACACATGTCACAAGTCCATATGTGATTAAGAAGACTCTTCCCCTACTCTGCATCTATCACCCCCCCCCCCAACTTTGGTTATGGTTTGGCAAGTGTAACAATTGACAAAGGTAAACATACACAGATAAATACACAGACTCTGACTCACAGATACACACATACATAGCCCACCTCTTCATTCCCCTCCTGAACTCAAAAAGCTTCTGCCCTTCTGGAATGGAGAACACGCGGATGACCGTCCCCTGGAAAAATGGATCGGATGCTCAGTTTCACCCAACACTTTAGCCCCATGCAGCACCGGACAAAAAAAGTTTACATACAAACACCCTGGAACTGTATGTAGTTTCAAAGCACATCACTGAACGTCCCCTTCCTTTTTATTAAGACAGAACAAAAGCCCACCACTTAAGGACAAAGGAATTTATTTTAGGGCCAACACTGATATGGATAACACTGCTAACAGATGGTCAGCATGCATGAAAATTTCTCCATTAAAAAACAAGCAACTTACATAAAATCTGCTTTAAATAAAGTGCAGTGGAGTAAACAAGGAGGTCAGCAGAAACAGACTGGTCAAGGTACCTTCTCGGAGGCAGTGGCCAGTTTGGTGCCGCTCGTGTCAAATGCCAGTGCCGCCAAGGGACTGTCGTGTGCAGGGATCATGTTAGCCGCTCGCTAACAGGAGAAAGTGCCGGAGACGCAAGTTTAAAACCTCAAAAGCCAGAGACACAATGAGCCTGGTACTGTTTTGGCGACTCGTGTTACATGGGAGGTGTGACGCACCAAATTGATGGTGTCGAAAACCTGAACTTCTCCTATCGATGCGCTTCCAGGGTAAGCCAAATAGCAGTTATCGTTGCTAATGGAGAGGGCACACAAGCCTGCGAAAGCAGAGCAGACATATCCAGCTGAGGCACTGCAGAGTGACCAACAGAAACTAAAAATCAAAACTGTGAGATTTTATTTTACCCTGAAGTTTTCTATGGTGAATGAAGATCTTTTTCCATTATGACTCATTACAGTTCCCCTTAAAATGTATTAATTATCTCACTCTAGACTAAGGAAGAGATGCAGAAATCAAAGACGTTTGAAATGAAAGACATATAGTTCGAATAACCCTACCCACTGCATTCCTATACATTACCTGATGGGTTAGGTGGGGTCTCTCGGATAGTGTGAAGTACTTTCATGTCTCTGATATTGTGAATGTAGAGTGATTCTTCCAAACATACTATCAGCCTCTGACAAACATAAACAATAATAATAATCAGAAGTGGAAGAGGTCTGAATACTTCATCCATCATATCAAAAATGATGGAACCCGCTACAAAGTCTCAAGCTTATTGTTAGTCCATTATGAGCACTACCATCGTTTGAGAAAAGAAATTATAAGAGGAGGGACTGCTGTGGAAAGCTCTGCTCACAGTGCAGAACAACTTAAGAACCAGAAAGTGAAAGAGCTTTTGTTTACCTGCCTGTTGAGCTTCACAGCCAGGATAGTGTTGGAGTAGCTGTAGTTACAGATCTCAGTCCCTTTTTTAAAGTGACACACCTTAAGCTTCCGGGGAGCTTTAAGGCTGACGATTGCAACAAGACTGCTGGAGAACAATCTCTCCACAATGCAGACATCTTCAGTGTCAGCTAGTGAGAAAAAGAATGCGCAAAAAGGAAGAGTCACCGCAGGCTTTACATGCAAACAAACCTCTCGATAAATGTAGCCAGATATACTAACAATTACATTTTAAACGGTATATATACAGTGCAGTTGCAGATCCAAGTAGCAGTCCCCTTAATTGTGGGAAAACTTGACCCAATAAGAAGCCATTGAAAAACATTACAGCCAATTGCAACACACCATTACAGATTAGTCAGTCATTATTCAAATATAAATATATATTTAAAACACTCCATTTCACCATTGTGCTTTTCTTTCGTGAATTCTACTTCTATTTCATTGGCACTAATATAAAGAAAATGCACCATTTTATTAGACACTTACTACATTCATAAATTTGTTCTAACTTGTCAACCGAAGACAAAGAGAAGAACTTGTATCCAGATTTGGTGCCGACAGCTAAGGACCTGTGACAGGAAAAAAAAGAGAATAATCCTTCACCTTCAGTTCCATTTTGTGTTATTTCACACATTTAACACAATTCATTTGCCAGATGACTTCCAACAAGCAACAACTTTGTGCATGACCTCACTGCCTATATATAATTCAACCTGTCCCCTAAACGCACACCTTGTGCATGTTTACAAAGCCACCCCCTCTTGGTGATCCGTCACATTTCGCGACTTATGTTCTTGACAGCAGCTGCATGGCACAGCATTCTCACATTAGCATCGCACTGGTGTGGCTGCACGCTACAGCAGGTCACCCATGGCCACCTGTGCGGCATTTTCGAGGCGACCTGCGGGACAGGTCCATGTGGCGCTCGCACGTGATCAGCTCCGTTATCCGTCCATCTGAGTCACTAACAGCTTTTCTCTCCCTTTTTACCGGACTGTTTGCCCACACCCATCGACACGGCCTAGCCTGCATGCTGCATTGCCCGTGTAGTTACCTACAGTCCTACACCAACAGAGCTCTGAATTTCCGCAGATGACCAAAGAGACAGATCCAGGACACAATACCCAATGTCGGACCCCTGTGTCATCTAATTCGGCGGCATGTAGTAAGTAAATAAGTTATTAACAGCCTGCTGATGCTTGAAACGTGCCTGTCACACGGGCTGCCATGGGTGGGTCCCCCAGGACACGCAGCTGCTACCCCCACATGACCCGACCCGGGGACTAAAAAGGCTGTTTATACGGTCGAAGCCGCACATATTATTCAGCTGACGGTTTTATTCCTCTGAAAGTCCCCCGCACCCTCCCGGAAGTCGTTTACAGTTTTACAGGTAGCTGAACTAGGTAACCGAGACACCGTTATTAACGCTGGAGGTGTGCCGCAGTTGCCCACCAGAAACCACGCCCGTGGCGAGCCTGTCTGCTCCGCGGCCTTTGGGATGCTGTCTCCCGGGTCCCCGACACACCGACACCCCCTCCCCGCTCCTTACGTGTTGTCCTGATTGAAGTTGGCGAAGAGGAGCTGGCCGCAGCCAGCCTCCCCGCTCTGACTGGCCAGGTTCATCGGTTCAGCAGCATGCAGAGGTGCAGCGGCCGCGGGACACGCAGCATCCGGAGCGGGGGGCCCGGCCGTGAACGCTCAGCCTCTCACCGACGCTGCTTCTCCCCCTTCCTCCTGGCTGTTGTTGTTTTGCTAGCGCGGAGCCGTGCATGTGTCATGCGCATGCGCGGCTATGGGCGTACGTGCATGCGCCCGAAGGAGCTTGAGCCGAAAACGTGCATGACTCGTGAATTAAAGGGGAAGTGAAAGCGCCGTCTGCGTTTTCTGTCTGCTTTAGACTCATTCTTTACTGCTGATACTGATCTATGCATTAACTCGATACATGAAAAATAAAAACATGTAATGTGATATTACTGTAAATATGCTGGGTCATCGAATCATTTTGATAGCCAAATAATGAGAAGGAACTCACGGTTTAATAGGGACCAAAGTCCATGAAATTTGAGGGGTTTTTTTTATTTGGCTCAGGCGGACCAGCTTCTGGTGTGAGGAAAAATAAATTGTACGGTAATTTATTAAAATCTGATATGGGTTGGCGCTCCATTCTGGGTTGCTCCTTGTCTTGTACACTGAGCTTTGGCAAAAGGCTCTGAACCCCCGCGACATTGTAAAGAACAAGTGAATTATTTTTTTTTTTACATGGCTCATTTCTGATCTTCCACTTTAAAATTTGGGATCACAGTAATTTCCTTGTTTTCCATGAAGACATACATGAAATGAGTTTGAATAGGAAATATAGCTAAATAAATATAGGAAATAGTCATTGATAAAGTTAGAAAAAAAATCATTTTTTAAATTAAAATAATTGCATTCTTCAAACTTTGCTTTCATCAAAGAGTCCTCCATCTGCAGCAGTTCCAGACCTTTGGCATTCTAGATGTGAGTTTGTTGAGGTAATCTGGCAAGATTTCTTCCTGAAGCATCTCCTGCAAGTTGGATTGGCTTGATGGGTAATTCTTACTTACCATTCGGTGAAGCTGCTCCCATAACAGCTCAATAGAGAATACTAGCTGACTGCTTCTTCCCTAAATAGTTTGGAGCTGTGTTTGTATTATTGTCCTGCTGCAGGACAAAACTGGCTCCAAATAAGCGCCGTCCACAGGGTTTGGCATGGCGTTGCAAAATGGAGTGATAGCCTTCCTTCTCCAAGATCCCTTTTAGCCTGTACAAATCTCCCAGTTTACCATCACTAAAGCAGCCCCAGACCATCACATTGCCTCCAACACGTTTGACAGATGTCATCAAGCCTTCCTCCAGCATCTAATTTGATCTGCATCTCACAAAAGTTCTCCTTTGTGATCCGAACACCTCAAATTTAGATTCATCTATCCATAGCACTTTTTTCCAATCTTCCTTTGTGTTCATTTGCCCATCTCAGTTTTTTTTTTTTTTGAGATACAGCTTTTCCTTTGCAATTCTGCCTAGAAGGCCAGCATCCTGGAGTTTCCTTTTGACTGTTGACGTTGAGACTGGTGCTTTGCAGGTACTATTTAATGAAGCTGCCAGTTGGAGACCTATGAGGCGTCTGTTTCTCTAACTACACACGCTAATATATTTATCCTCTCGCTCAGTTGTGTACTGGGGCCTCCCTCTCCTCTTTGTGGTCGGAACCAGTTTGCGCTGCTCTGTGAGGGGAGTAGTACACAGCATTGTATGACATCTTCAGATTTCTGGTAATTTCTCACATGGAATAGCATTCATTTCTCAGAACAAGAACAGATGGATGAGTTTCTGACCATTTTGAGCTTGTAATCGAATCCACAAATACTGATGCTCCAGATACTCAACTAGTCCAAAGAAGTCCAGTTTTATTGCTTCTTTAATAAGAACAACAATTTTCATGTGTGCTAACATAACTGCAAAAGGGTTTTCGAATGATCAATTAACCTTTTAAAATGATTAACTTTAAATCACAGGGCCCTGATGGCATCTTACCTATAGTGTTAAAAGAGATGGGCCGAATGGCCTCCTCTCGTTTGTATAGATGAGGGATATTATTTGCCGACCCTTAACTTTACTGTTTCAAAAATCCTTATCTGAAGGTGTGGTACCTTCTGATTGGAAGCATGCCAACATAACGCCCATTTTCAAAAAAGGGGATAGAAGTAATTTGTCAAACTATAGGCCAATCAGTCTAACTTGTATAACTGGTAAAGTTATGGAAGCTATAATCAAAGAGAAAATGGTAGATTACCTGGACTCAAATAACATTTTGAGGGATAGCCAGCATGTATTTCGGAGAGGTAGATCCTATTTAACAAATCTGTTGGAGTTTTTTGAGGAAGCTACTCAGGAAGTTGATGATAAGAAGGCCTATGATGTCATCTACTTAGATTTCCAAAAGGCTTTTCATGTTGTCCCCCACAAGAGGCTCTTACTTAAACTCAAAGCGACAGGTATTTTAGGAACTGTGGTAACCTGGATTGATAACTGGTTAACAGATAGGAAGCAGCGAGGAGTTATAAGAGGCACAATGTCACAGTGGGCCTGCGTTCATAGTGGGGTACCGCAGGGTTCAATTTTAGGACCACTATTGTTCCTAATTTACAGAAATGATATAGACACCAATATATACAGTAAACTAGTGAAATTTGCAGATGACACAAAGGTCGGTGGTTTAGCAGATACTGAACTAGCGGCTCAGCAGCTACAGCGGGATATTGATTTAATTAGTGACTGGGCCGATACCTGGCAGATGAAATTTAACATAGACAAATGTAAGGTACTCCATGTAGGGAGCAGAAATATAAAGTACAGGTATTTTATGGGACCTACTGAAATAAAGGTAGCTGATTATGAGAAAGACCTTGGTGTGTATGTTGATGCTTCCATGTCTCATTCTCGCCAGTGCGGGGAAGCAATAAAAAAGGCCAATAGGATGTTGGGGTATATCTCCAGGTGTGTGGAGTTTAAGTCAAGGGAGGTAATGCTAAGATTATACAATTCCTTGGTGAGACCTCACCTAGAATATTTTGTGCAGGTTTGGTCACCATATCTTAAAAAGGACATTGCGGCCTTAGAAAAGATGCAGCGTAGGGCCACAAGAATGATTCCTGGTCTTATAGGAATGTCATACGAGGAAAGGTTAGTTGAGCTAAACCTGTTCAGCCTTAAGCAAAGGAGACTGAGGGGGGACATGATCCAGGTCTATAAGATTCTAACAGGTTTGGATGTCTTCCTGATAACGTAGTGCAAGCTGAATCCTTGGGTTCCTTTAAATCAGAGCAAGATAAGATTTTATCAACTCTGAGCTATTAGTTAAGTTCTCCCCAAGCGAGCTCGATGGGCCGAATGGCCTCCTCTCGTTTGTATAGTTCTTATGTTCTTATGTAACATTCCACTGGAACACAGGAATGATTGTTGCTGATAAGGGGCCTCTGTACACCCATGTAGATATTCCATTAAAAACAGCTGTTTCCAGCTTTGATAGTCGTTTACAACATTACAATGTTTACACAGTAGTTATGATCACTTTGATGATATTTTAATCCATTGTACTTTTATACCACAGACATCATTGCCACACGAACCCAGGACACATAAAATCTGCCATATATAAGCTGTGGTTTTTCCCAGCCCCCCTGAGAAATAATTATTCTAAAACCATTTAGCGATGTGTCCCTTACTTTTATATATACATTAATTTTTTATCCAAAGACTCCCCCCACCACCAAACAAATTTAATCAGGGGGACTTGAGGTGGTAGTGGTGAGGGGGGGGGGGGGGGTTCCCATATATCCTCAGGGTGTCTGTGAAATAGGGCTGACCATATTGTACAGTTTCAATTTTGGACTAATTCTACCTTTTGACTTGCTTTATATTTCCCAGTCCTGCAAAGGTCCATCCACTTTTACTCCTTACTCAGCAACAATCAGCCCATCTGATGCCCCCCACCCTGGCATATAAAGGCCAGTGCCCTACATACTCCACGCACTGGTGGTTTGCCAGGTCATGCCTCCTCAGAAGATCCCTCTATGCTGCCTTTGTCGTCTTATGGGTTGGCTGCACTGCTGAAAATCATTTTAAAATTCACCTTACATATAATATTATGTAAATAGCAGTCAACAAAGTTGTTCAAAATATTTGTTTTGTCAAGATCAATGGTAAGATGACAGTGTATATATGTATCTTACAGTAACTACATAATCAGTCATAACATTAAACCCACCTGCCTAATATAGTGTAGGTCACCCTCTTGCTGCCAAAACAGCTCTGACCCTTCAAGCCATGAACTCCATGGGACCTCTGAAGGTGTTCTGTGGTATCTGGCACCAAGGTGTTAGCAGCAGGTTCTTTGAGTCCTGTAAGTTGCGGGGGCTCCGTGGATCAGACTTGCTCGTCCAGCACATCTCAGAGATGCTGCATCGAATTGAGATCTGACAAATTTAGAGTCCAAGCCAATACCTTGAACTCTTTTTCATGTTCATTCTTGAACAATTTCTGCAGTGTGGAATGGTACATTATTCTGCTGAAAGAGGCCACTGCCATTGGGAATACCATTGCCAAGAAGGGGAGTACGTGGTCTTCAACAATGTTTAGCTAGGTGCTATGTGTCAAAGTAACACCCACAAGAATGTCAGGACCCAAGGCTTCCCAGCAGAACATTGCCCACAGCATCACACTGCCTCTGCCAGCTTGCTGCCTACCCATAGTGCATCCTGATGCCATCTCTTCCCCAGGTAATTATGCACATGCACCCAGCTGTCCATGTTATGTACCAGCCATCATTAACCTTTTCAGCAATTTGTGCTACAGAAGCTATCCGATGGGTTCGGACCAGACAGGCTACCCTTCACTCCCACAAGCATCAATGAGCTTTGGATACCCATGACCCCGTCGCTGGTTCATCAATTGGCCTTCCTTGGACCACTTTTTGTTGGTCCTGACTGCTGCACACTGGGAACACCCCAAAAGACCTGCTGCTTTGGAGATGCTCTGACCCAGTCATCTAACTATCACAATCTGGCCTTGTCAGTGGTTTTAATGTTATGCCTGATAGGTGTACATTAACCTGCCTCAGTGCTGCCTCTGTTTCAGGCAATGAGTCACGTAAACAATTTTGTCAGATTTTAAAGCAGTCCATGTTAAATCAGAAGAGCCTGGAATATTTAGAACACCTGAGATCACATATTCATCAATATGCATCTACATTTAGGTTAATTGTGCAAGTAGTTGGTTAAATATTTGTTCAATCGTGCATAGGCCTACAACCGAATAGTTACTTCAGCATTAGTTCAAATACAAGAACTCGTGGCCATAGGTGGAAATTAGCGGGAGAACATTTCAAACTCGATTTAAGGAAGCACTTCTTTACACAGCGTGTAGTCAGAGTATGGAATAGTCTTCCTGATAACGTAGTGCAAGCTGAATCCTTGGGTTCCTTTAA